TCTGAGTAAAATGGAAAGGCTTGCTTGACCATTGGTATGAATTCAAACAAAAACTGCAATTCGTATACCCAAGTGACCTATTCCTTATGTGACTAAAACATCGATGATGTTGAACACTTATTTACAAAGTACAACTACGAGTTTCAAATCAAATGAGTTTATAATTAATCTACATAGGATTTATTTTTTATATAGAACATATCTGTCCTCAAAACTTTGAAACTAAAACAAAATAAATAAAACAATACACGAATAATTATATTTGTTGTTTTTGCATAGCAATATATATCCGTAGTTTTATAACTAAATTAATTCAAAATGCATATTTAAAACTTTATTTTATTTATTCATTAAATAAACTCTTCCAGTTTATTAAAATAATTTTGCAAAATAATTAAAATATCATTAAAAACGTGTTCTGCATTTTAAAATCACTCAGCTCACAAAGTGTTTTAGTAACTGCGGTGCAATGTTGGACGCACTCCAGCCAATTTCCAGCAGCTAACAAAACTTAACTGGTAAGTGATGCACTTCACCTGTTCATCACTTCACCTCATCCGGTGCGGGCATATCTGCGGTTAAATGCTACTTGCATTTTTCATTTTTCGTTTGCGTAAAACTGGAGAATCCTTATTTACGAGTGCATTACATATCTATGTGTGCGTTCCGAGTTTGACGTTTAATTGACATTGAACTTTAAAATATCGACCCAGTCATGTTATGCAATCTGAGCACTTAAAATGTAGCTACTTTTCGAGCATCGAATAATTAAATACCTGAATCGAAAACCGTTTTATTCAATTTATATTGAAAAAAGAAAATATTTATGAGCTAATCGAAAAGTATTATTTTTACCTAAACAGAGATAATTTTGGTAAAATATAATTTAAACCAATAATAAAAATTTAACTTCAATAAATATAAGCACAAACATTATAAACTTTAGAACTTAATGTGAAAATCTAATTCTTTTTAATGAAAATAAATATTTATAACCAAAATGTGTATTTCTACATATTCAAGAAGTATTGCTAAGTAAATGGTACTTTTCACAAATAAAAAATATTGAAATTTTCTAGCAATACCGTTTTATTTTAATCGAAATAGATGTCTTCAACATTTTATTGCAGTAATTTGCGACCTATTAAGTTAAGTTTATTGTTTTAGATCGTCTGCCGGAATGTTGGAACAAAGCTTTTGATTAGCTTCGGTGACATCGTTACAGCTTTGATACAAACATTTATTTAAAATAGTAAAACTACGTAGCACAAGGCCTAATTAAGTGAATATGAGGGTGACCGACCTTATGGATGTATATTCCTGACAATAGATTACTACAAATACGCATACAAATATGAGATTTTTGTTATTTAATTAATTAATTAGTCTCTACCTATTTACTTACTTATTGTAGTTGGCCATTACTTCATTTTTAAATGTATGTAATAACCGCCTATAGCCAATCCGATCACGAGCTTGATGTCGCCAGTTGGTAATATCAAGTATCTTCATACCGTAGGTCACCTAGTCTTTCCACCTAAGTTCCTGACATATTCTACCACATTTTTCTTCGACGGGTCACAAATGAACCAACTTTTCTAACCAGTGCATTATCTTCCATTCGCACGACATGATCAAGCCAACGGAGTTGCTAAATTTTTATGCGCTTAACTATTCACTGTCCCGATATATCTAACTCGTATAGCTTTTCATTCCATCGAATACGATACTTGTTGCAAATACGTAAGAGACCTTTCGAAGAATTTTTTACTCGAATGGTTTTACTGCCTTCTCACCAGTGTTGGTAATTGTCCCAACTACTGCATTATACAGTGACACAGATATGCTAAGATATGCTGTAGAGCGAGAATTTTACTTATCGAGAATGGGTTTTATTTCTCAATTGCTTACTTAGACCAAATAAACATCTGGTGGTAAGAGTGATTTTTCATTGAACCTATAAGCTGGTGCCAATTTTGATGTTGACGCTGGTGCCCAAATAAACAAAGTCTTTGGACCACTGTTAATTAATAGTTGTCCAGAGTGACGTGGGTCATAGATACACGAAAGCGGTATATATACACAGAAACAGTTTTTCAATTGACAAATATAAAGTGGGTATGAATTCCCTTTATTGGATCGTTTCCAGAATTTGGCTCACTGTAAATATTTAGTGTATGGTAAACTTTCTAAGTCTAAAGCAAAACTGTTCTAATCAGCTGGTTGACAAATGACTTCAATCTTTTTCAAAGTCCTGTCAATAAAACTTTATATGTAATGTTTCCATGATAATTTGCACATCATACAGGATCACCTTCTCTGCAGAGTGTGTAAAGTATTATAAACATAAACCAAGAATATCATTTTATTTATATTGTCACGAGGATTTCTATAAATCCTACCTCTCTCTATTTCTTTTCTCATGCATAAAACCATATTGCAATCGTTTAGATTCCATTCAATAGAGCTTCAATTAATTGATTTCATACTATTAAAAATTTTTCAAATATAGTGTTACATTCTAAAGTAGTTCAATGCATAATATTTCTTTTAATTTATATTTTCCCAATAGATTTGTGTGATATTCCTATCTCCAATTTTCGACATATTATGGAAACGAATAAAAACTTCTTCATAACTGATTCATATTCTTACCTAAGCAATTATCAATTTCATGCATATTAAACCTTTGCCGCAATAAAGATATATTTATGTATATGTATGTGTTATGTGTTTATATATTTGCATAGTATATATTACCTCCATTAAGCTCTATATACATCTAGATGTTATAGGTTTTCATTTTAATAGCATATGAAAGAAATTGCGGAAGGAATATTTCACTCCAGTCACACAAAGAAAAACCAATTCCATGCAAATGAAAATATTATTATTTTCTTATTTTATGTATAAATCACAATGAGAACAACAACAACAACAATAATAATAACAAAAATAAAACATAAAATGTATTTTAATTTTCTTTTGTTGCAAGTATTGACCAAACTTTTTCCTTAAATTATGCAATACAAGCTTGTGTCTGTTTATTTGTTTGTTTGTTTGTTTGTTTGTTTGTTTGTATGTTTGTAACAAACAAATAAAGAACAAAGTTTCATAAAAGTATGAGGAGAAAAATTTTACTGCAGTAGATAAGTTTTTATATTTTACGCAAAATATTTAATTTGAGACAATAGAAAAAACTAAAAAAAAAAAAATTAAGAAAGTATGAGAAAAATTATAGCATTCTCTGCAGTAGGACAATAAAAACGTTGCCAGAAACAAAAAAAAAAGAAAACGAAACTGAAAATGAAAATGAAAATGAAAAAAAGAGGAAGAAATATTATAAAATTTACCACACTCCCTCTGCCAAAAAATATAAAAATTGTGGCTTTGATATTACCCATGCACTCCTCTTATGAGTGCGTTATTTTCGTTTCAACTGCTGTCAAATTTCTGGAAAAGTGTACCCAATGGCACAGTGGCATAGTGGCACAGTGGCAAAACTCAAGACACTCGAGTGCGGGCCTTGCACTGTTTATATTTTTATTGTTGGAGCGCCTTTTTGTCATTTCAGGTCGTTTTCCCGCAGCATTAAAATTTATGCTCCTGCGTTTAAATTGCGGAAACAGATGAAATGCCAACAACGTTTTTCATTTTCTCTTTGATGTACGCCACAAACACACTTAAACGCACTCACACGTACTGAGTTACCATATTTCCACTCACATATGCAATGCACATGCATAATGACGCAGAATATCACTTGTGTTTGTGTGGTGGTATGCATTGCACTGAAACGGAAGGAAGCTAAAAACGTATATGTGTGTACGTGTGAGTGTCATATTGTAAAAGCTGGAAATGAGTTAATATTTCTTAAAAGTGTGATACCGGAAGACGTAACAACGGAAATATGAGAACATGAGCAGTCATAGTTAGTGTTTAGTGTTTGCATGAAATGCTGTACATTTGCGGCAGTGCAACATGTTTATTAGTTTCGTGCACTTTAGTTTTCCTCTGGATTATAGTATATATATCATATAATTTTACTATTTTCTGTTTTAGTTTATTATAATTGCTTTCTTCTGTTTATTTTTTTTTTGTTTTTATTTCTGTTTGTTGTTTTTTGTGTACACTTTTTATATAATTTCATTTAACAGCGCTTCTAGTGTCTGGACGAAGCACCTCTTATGTTATTTGCACACTTCCGGCTATTGTGTTGTTAGTGCAAATTTATGGCAATGCTTTCCTTTGCCAGCTTCACACAATATATAAAATAACAACAATTTCATAAAATTTTTATATACCATGAAATATTGTGTATGCTGACAATGTGAGTGTAGCTGAGAGCTATAGCATTTTTTATACTCTAGGACATTTTTTGTACAGCGGCTTCAATATTATTTCAATTTATTTAAGGATTTAAATTTCAAAATACTATCGCTTTATAAAGATCAAAGATGGGATCTATAATAAACTGTTCGTACAATGCGTCCACTGACGCATATTTACTAAAGAATTTTTTCACTTCAGCGGTATTCAGAAGAATTCTAATCCTTTTCGTATTAATATTTGATCATTCTTATTCGTAGAGCAATTCCTTGTTGATAATTATTGTTATACAAGAGGATCATATTCTTCAGTAATGTCTCTGTATCTTATATATATCGTCTGTATTTTATACACAATACATATTTTGAAAGCAGTATGCAATTAACACTACCAGCACTGTGTTTAAATTATATTTGCTTAGATTTAGAAGATAATTACTACGGGTTCAAATATAAGTTGTTCGTGACAATGCGTCCACTGATCAGGATTTAATCATTCTGATTTATGAACCAATTCTTTGTATATAATTCTTCTCCTATGTTGTACTAGAGGAGGATATTCTCCAGG